TTCCCCACAAACTTTTGAGGCCCTTCCTCGCTCACCCCTTGTTTTCCAAAAGGTCACATTTTAAGAGCTGGAGCTCAGGGGACTCTGCTGTCTCTCTCCTTGGTGCAGTGGTCCCTTCCTCCACCCCCTTCAGTTCTCCCCCCACACCTGACCACCCCCCCCCACGTTAATCCTTCTTGACTGAAACTCATTTTTACTTCAAAGCACAGAGAGAGCCCCTTATGAGGAACCTATTTAACTCAAACTTACCGTGTTCACAAAAATCACGTGATCACCTTAATAGGCACGGTGGAAAGCATCTGACAGAATCCGACACCCATTCTTGATAAGGGCACTGACCAAACGGGAAGTAGGCGGGGGCTAACTTCCCCTGGTAACAGGCATCCATACACGGCCACACCTAACCTCACACGTCTGGTCCACGGCAGAAAGCTCTCCCCCAGCAGCTGGAACCAGGCAAAGATGTCTGCTCTTGTCATTGCCACTCAACATTGAACTAGACGTCCCAGCCAGGGCAAGCAGGCCGGGTCATGAAATAAGTGGCACACAGAAATTAGAAAGAAGAAGGAAAAATACCTGCTGTTGACATGGTTTCATGTGGATGTGTATACATAGTTCTTTAGGAATTCACCAAATAACTAACAGAATTAATAGGCAAACCCAGCAGGGTTGCCAGGTAAAAGAACAATAGAGAACATTTCAAAACAAGAAACTGGGTTTCTATACACTAGCAATGACGAATATGAAAATAATATTAAGAAAATAATTCCATTTCCAACCTTACCCAAAAGAATAAAATACCTAGGAATAAAATTAACAAAGTGCAAGGTCAGGACTTGGCAAACTATAAAACACGGCTGGAAGAAATTCAAGGTGAGGTGGTGAGGTGGTGACGCAGCAGGCTGCGAGCCGCAGGGCTGGCAGTTCAAGACCGCCAGGAGCTCCTCCTGAGAGCGCCTGGGCTTTCCACTCCCGGACAGTTACCATCTCAGAAACCCACAAGGGTCACGATGTACGTGGCAGCACTGGCTCGGTGTCAGAGAAATAAGTGATAAGGCATCTCGTGGTCATGGATCAGAAGATTTAGCATCTTTCGATGGCAATGCATGCCAAATATATCTACTGACTCAATACAGACTCAAAATCCCAGCTAGAATGTCTTTCTAGAAATCAAAGCACAGTTTCATATGGAAATTCAAGGGATCCGGAATAGCCAAAGCAATCCTGAAAAATAAAGCTGCAGGGTCACACGTCATGATTCCAAAACTCACAGTAACGCCACAGTGATCAAAACAGTGCGGCACTGGCATAGCCATAGATACAGAGCAGTGACATAGGACTGAGCGGTCACAAATACACCCTCACGTAGCACTGCTGTAAGCTGGAATCACCTTGATGGCAGTGAACTATTGGTTGTTTTTTGTGGGGGGGCTTTTGACAAGGGTGCCCGACAATTCAGTGAAGAGAACAGCCTTTACAACAGGTGACGTCACGACAGCTAGGTGTCCACGCACGAAAAATAAAGCTGGGTCCCTTCCTCACACCACACACACACACACACACAAGTAACCCCAAATGAGTCACAGACCTAAATATAAGAGCTCAGTTAAACAGAAGAAAATATAGGGAAACATATTTATGCTCTCGGATTAGGTAATAATGTATTAGTCAAGACACCAAAAAGATAAGAACCAAAAGGGAAAAAAAAAAGATAAACTGGACATAATGTAAACCAAAAGAATTTGTTGGTACTTCAAAGAATACCATCGAGCAAGTGAAAATACAACCTACAGTATGTGGGGGGTGGAATGGGTGCGAAGCAAATAGTTTATATGATAAAGGTCTAATACAAAGAATAAACAACTTTTACATTCCACTTTAAAAAGAAAACCTCAATTTTAAAATGAGCTAACGGATGAAATAGATATTTCTCCAAAGCAGACACCCCAATGGTCAATAAGCATGTAAAATGATCCCCAACATCATCAGCCTGTTGCTGTCAATTCTGATTAAGAGTGATCGCACAGGAGCAAGCAGAACTGACTCCTACAGGGTTTCTAAGGCTGAACCTCCTCACTGAAGTAGACTGTCACCCCTGTCTCCTGCAGAGTGGATTCCGTTCCCAGTCAAGCACTTTAACCACTGGCAATGTACAAATACAAATCACAACCACAAGAAATAGCGCTTTACCACAGTTTGGAAAAGCTGGACATCTTCGCCCTCTGCCTCCCAGGAACATGTGTGCTGATCCTTTAAAAGAAATGATCCATGTACATACCCTTGGGGGTAACATAGTACGCAATATTCCAGGGCTAAGCCCTGTGAGAACACACTCTCAGCTGGGTCTGTCCCCCTACTATGCAGTTGCCTTGTCCAGCTTCCACTTTTTCTTTTGGCCTGGGCAGCAGAGGACCCCAAGGCTAGGCTCCACCCGAATGACAGGCAATGCAAACAGAGAGGAAGTTTGCCAGAGCTCAGGTAGGCATCTACATCCAGAGAGCTGAGTGGACAGCGGGGACCACAATAAGCAGCTGATGCCCTCTGACACCAAAGCTGGACCAGGCGTGCTGACCAAGGCTCTAGGGACCCCAACCAAGAACGCCACATCTTTGCCTTGCCCGATTCGTAGCTCTGAGACGACCTTATCTCACTCAGAGACAGTTCGGCACCACACGCGGGAGAACGCAGATGGAGCATAGCGAAGGTCATGGGCCTGCTTACCACCGGTGGCTTTGTAACAGCCCTGGCATTACTCTGCATTGCTAACCAGATATCTACCCTACACCCCGTGTTGACCAGGCGCCAAGAACTGTGCTTTTCATGGAGCCCGGCACTGCGTCTTCACCAGCCTGGTCCAAGATGCCATCATCTTACTGCTTGCCAGGGTCCTCTTTCCCCCCTTGGATCCCTACTCGACACCACAGGTGGGTGAGACTGAAAAGTCAGAGCACGATACTCATCGCCTAGAAAGTCCTTGCGTGCCTTTCCGCTCTCCTTACACAACAACTCAAACACCCCACCAAGCACAAGACCTGGTTGCTCTGGCCCATTCCCTTTGCTTGCTTGCTCCTGGCCAGGGCCGGAGGTCTCCCTTCAGGCATTTGCATGCCTGCCTTCCCACAGGCTGTACAATGGGTCTGTAGGCAATTTCGGGTCTCTCTTAGCATGTCTTGGTCCTTCTCACCAATCATAGGGTAAGCTTAAATGTTCCCTCCACAGTGAGGGCTTCCTCAAACCCTCTATCTAAACAGATCTCACCCTGTGATTCACTTCCCAGAATCTCCTCCAACCCCTCACAGACTTTCCTGGTTGGAAATGAATTTACTGGTTGTCTTGCTTGTTGACTGTCTCCCATTGGACAGAGGGCATTGGTCCATGTGGGGCTACCCCTTACAAGAACTCCCTGGAGACCGGGACTTGCAGTCTTGAGCCAGAGGTTCTGAATCATGGAGGAAAGATAATGCACCAACTTTTCCCAGGATTGAGCCGCAACCTCAACAACATAAGTGACTGCAGGAGAAAGTGGGCTTTGTACTAGACTGGCCAGCAAGGTGGCACTTGTTCAAGGAGAAAGGACCATGCGTGGTATATCCCCTAGCCTCTCTCCTCCAAAGGCTGGAAGGGCAGTGGTCATGTTCATTTGAACAATCTTCACAGACTCTGCCAAATTGTTTTTCCAATGTGTCACACTGAGCCATACTTCCACCAGCAGCACCTGAGTGCACCAAGCTGCCACTCTCTCATCCACTCTCCTTCATGCCCAAGACGGGGCCCTCAAGGACAAGAGGTGTGATGCCATGAGGAAGGGCAGCCAGGTGAATGGACGGGGCATTGAAAGCACTGGGGGCTAGTTTTATAAACTGTCTTCCCGACATGTGTTAGTCCGGGTAGACTAGAGAAACAAACTCATGGACACTCATGTGTGTGTAAGAGAGACTTTTATATAAAGGATAATTGTACATTAAGAAAGCATCCCAACCCAATCCAGTCCAAGCACTTAAGTCCAACATTAGCCATATGTCCAATACCAATCTATAAAGTCCTTTTCAGACTCGTGCAACACATGCACTGATGCGGAATGCAGGACAATCACAGGCCAGTGGGTAGAAAGTCTCCTGGATCCAGTATTGTAAGCATCTCAGCACTGGCAGGGGTCTCCATATGGCTCCTCCAGCTCCCAGGGCTGCATCAGGGTAGGTCCATGTGGCTTCTCCTCAGGGATGTCTCGCAGGAAGTGAGCAGAAAAAGAGAGTCTCTCCTGCCTTCAAGGAGGAAATTCAGGAGTTCCCAGAATCCTCAGGAGAAGGCCATGCCCACACAGAGGCCTCATTGGCTAGGACCTGATTGACAGACTAGACTCCACCCCTTCACTTAATCCTCTCAAGTCCCAAATTGACACCAGATCATGTAACTCCCACACAACACAAGGTTGAAACAACAGTCCACAGATCTTTCTAGCTCTGCACAACAGCGTTCCCCCTCCTCGCACGCTCACAACCCCCAAGTGGATTCTGCCTCACAGCGACCCTACCAGCCAGGGGAAAACTGCCCCACAGGCCCCCAAGGCTGTAAGTCTGTAGGGGAGCAGACTGCCGGGTCTTTTTGCAGCCAGCTCAAACCACCCTTCTCCTAGTTAGCAGCCTAGAGCTTCGCTCTCTCACCCACCAGGACAACTTCACTCAACCCAACGACTCTCAGTGGGGCTGCGACAAACACTGGTTGAAAGTCAGGAGAAATAAAGAACAATCTTGTATGCGCCTTAGCCCTTCATAAACATTAAAAAACCCACAATCTCTAAGACATGTTGGCAAATATGCATTGGCTTATCATTAATAAGGGGGGGGAAATGAAACATCAAATTTTTTTTGTTTTACAAAGCTACGTTGACTACTTTGGGGTGCACCCCACAGGAACAGGTAATCCCCCCAGCCCCCAGGTGTGGCCCAGGGGGAGAGGGGCTCCCTGAGGGGAAGGAAGCACAAAAGGGACCCGCTGCTGACTCAGGGCACGGGCATGCCATCGGTGCTGGGACCTGCGAGCACTGCAGGAGGCACGAGCGTGGTGGGGCTGGCTCCAGGCACGGAGGGAGGGCAAGAGGTTTGGACGCGAAGCCACAGAGCTCCCGGGTTCCTCCTCCTTCTCATTTGCCTTTTTCTCCTTCTGCTGTGTGGTCTCCGCGCCCCTCTGCTTGAGGGCGGCGGCAGCAAGCCCGTCATCCCGGCACTTCCCCTTAACCGGGCCGCTCTGCTTTTTCATATTCTTCTGGCTACCGCAGGTCATGGCGATGGCGGCGGCTCCGGCCTGCCTCGACACATCGGTTTTTACAAATGCATCCATACATTTCCACTTGGGATTCTACGAAAGAACGTGGAGGGCTTTTCTTGTCTTTTCCAGCTCTGAAGACTGCAAATCAAAATGGATTACAGTCAAGTCTGCATACACCCACGGATTGCCAATGGCTGAGGATTCTATTGCGGGTGGGTGGGTGGGTGGTATCCTTTAATCCTTTGGGCTGGTGAGATGGAGTTGACTCATGTGGCCCTTGAGCCAGATCCCCTTCTGTGATGGACTGTGGATCCTAGCCCCTATGCTTGCGGCTATAACCCCATTTTGGGGAGAGTGCTTGGTTCTGGGGTTAAGGTGATGTGCATTCGGAGTTTCCACCTCATCACCGCCTCCTGTTTCCTTGGGGTGTGGTCTGCTGACAGACAAATCCACCCCTCCATGAAAGAAGCAGGAACACAGACGTTCCAGGCCCCTCAAGGAAGAGGGGCCACCGGGGAGGCCACCTCTGTCTGAAGCGAGGCTGCAGCACAGAGACCGTGGGACAGAGCACAGGAGCCGGGCCTTGACATCACGAGACAGAGGGAGGAGCAGTGTGGGGACCGTGAGGTAGAGCAGTGGGCGGCTATCCTGGCCACAGAAGCAGACGTCAAGGGACTACGTGGCTAAGAGGCTGAGGGCCACGGACCCGAGACGTGGCTGCTGGCTGAGGAGGCGTTGCTGTGGACCAATGTCTGTGTCATTACTGTTTTTTGATCCTAAGTGGTGGTTACCTGGGAACGTCTCTAATCCCCCAGAACTGTGAGCATTGTCTGTGAGCTCCATGTGGCTACTGCAGAGAAGCGGAATGTTGGGGGAGCAACAGTTGGTGTCAGACTAGGTCAAGAAAGATGGGAGGTGGAGGCCTGCCTGACTTCTTCTGCCTCATGGCAACAGGGAAGCCCAACCCCCAAACAAACACACACTGTCATCGAGTCAAGGGCCACGCACAGTGGCCCTGCAGGACAGAGTAGAACTGCCCCGGGGGGATTTTGAGCCTGTAACTCTTCGTGGGGGTAGAAAGCCCTGTCGTGCTCCCTCAGAGTGGCTGGTAGTGGCAAACTGCTGACCTTGCAGTTAGTAACCCAGTGCATAACCACTGCGCCAGCTGGGCTCCTAGGGCAAGCCAAAGGAGGTCAGATCTACCCCTGCGCAATGTTTCCGCTGGTGGCTGGTGGAGCAGAGCATTAAATCTTCCCCGGTTATACTGTACAAAACCGTGTTCTGTGTGGTAGTCCCACAGGCTCACCTAGTATGACAATTGTGGTGCTTCCGTGTGCCACACCAGTGAGGATAAGGGCCCATTCACGACCCCTGACAGGAAATTTTACCTACACATTTTAACCACAGCTAATAACTAGGCATTTACAGCAGCATCTATAATCGTTGAGTGCAACATTGCCAACTACCCTGAGAGTCCATCCTTACTTCCATTTGAGGAACTATGTTTCGGTTCCTATGGCAACAGTGTGTGGTACAGGGGAGCCGTCCTTGGGCACGAGAGCAGAGGAGCAGTGGCGATCTGCCTTCCTGTGGGCAGAGCTGGGCCCTTTGTGAGGTTAGCATGTGGCGCAAATACAAATAAGCTTGCAGAAGATAAAATAAAATAAAATAAAATAAGCTTGCAGCCCATTTCAGAAAAGCCGAGAAGACACTCACAAGGAAAACTGTCTCACAAGGCAATTATATCATACCTCACTCAAGTGCTCCATTTGCCGAGTGAAGAAAGAGCCGTTTGTGTCCAAAGCCACAGGCACAGGCTAGCAATCTGTGGTCGACTGTGGGTTGCTTCGGAGGAAGCCACAGGACACAGGATGAGGGCTACATGTGGGTCCCGGGCCAGCCTTTTGGGACTCTGTAGGGTGTCAAGTACAAAGAAGAGGTGCTGGCTTCTCCTGGTCATCTCTTTGCCACAGGAAGCCCGGGAAAGGGGGTAGGCAGCTTTAGTGAAGGGGCAGACTTAGTGGGGATCAAGAAGGAGGAGAATGCTTACTTTTGACCAGTTTGGTCATGTTCTTGTTGTGTTGCTTTAGTGGAGATCTCTGTGGCCTCCGATTGCGAGGATACTAAGGAGCCCTGGAGGCTAACTTGAACGGCTAACTGCAAGGTTAGCAGTTCGAATCTACCAGCCGTTCTGCAGGTAAAAGATGAGGTTTTCTGCTCCCTTAAAGAGCTGCAGTCTCGGAAACCCACAGGGACAGTTCCACCCTGTCGACCCGATGAAAGTGAGGTGTTAAGAGGCAAAGTAAATGACTGCAAGTGACCCACCCCGATTTTTTTTCTACATAGAATGGGGGGGGGACCTCAAAAATTAAAATGATTGAATCCATTTCCTTGTCACATGTATGCTGTCGTTTCATAAGTTTCAAATTCAGTGTGGATCATGCATTCCACGAACTGACCCTGCAACTGAGCCAGGGCCATGGGTGCTCAAACATGGACACAAGCCAACGGTCCAGCAGCACCACAGGTCATCCACTGTGTCAGCCGGGAGTGGCGCAGCGCTCCAGCTCTCAGGGCGGTTCTGCTGTAATTGCAGCACTGCAGTGGACTGCTTCCAGATACACACATTGACTTTCCCCCGTCTAGGAGATGAGGAGTCTCAAGGGCCGTGGTGCTGTAGTGGTTACAAGGTCAGCAGTTCAAAACCACGAGGGACAAGGTGGGGCTTTCTACTCCCATTGAAATTCTGGGAGCCAACTTCACAGAAAAGTTTTCTCTCTGTTGGCTCTGGGGAAGGTCCTTGTTCCTCCCGATCTCCATGTGGTGTGGTATCTGCCCTCCTCCATCAAGGATTTCTCCTTGCTTCCAACTTAATCTGCTGCTGTTTTTAGTCTCAAAAGAGACTGAGATTGTACGCCCTATGCTAAAATGGTCTTATGAACATTGCAAAGCAAGTCCCTTCCCAAAGGGGATTATAATAACCACAGGTAAAGGAGAGGGTTAGGATTTATAATTATAATACATTTACAAAGGGGTTGGGGTGGGGGGAGTAGTGGGGGGACCTAATTCAATCCATAAGGGGGTAAATCCTAGGAGCTGTGACCCTGATAGCTTCCCCAGGGACACCAGTGTTCCATAGAGAGAAACTGTCTCCCACACAGCCTAGGCGAACAAATGCGGTTCAACCGGGTGGTGGCAGCTTTCGGAGCCCCTGGACGCCGTGGGACTTTGAGGCCCGCTACCTGCCTCTGAGAGTACACAGGAGCACTTCACCAAAGAGAGAGGGTGAAAGTTAGGAGAGAAGTCAACCCAAGCTAAGCCTGGGGCAGCGAGGCGGAGGGGTGGGGGTGGGCAAGGGGAAAGGGCATTTGAGAGTAGGTGAGGGAAAGGAAAGGGAAAAGAGGAAGAAAAAGATGGTAGGTACCCCCACAAAGACCCAAACCCCACTGCCAGTGAGCTGACTCCAACACCCATTGGTCTTATACCAAAGATGTCCCTGCTGACTCACAGTGACCCCCTGTGAGTGTCTGAGGCCACAACTCTTAATGGGGATGGTTTCAAACTTCCAGCCACACCGATCACAGCCCAACCCCTAACCACTACACCACCAGGGCTCCTTCTGGGGCAGAGCAGAATTGCCCCATGGGGTTTCCAAGGTTGTAAATCTTGATGGAAGCCTAGATTCATCTTTCTTTCCCCCTGTAGAGCAGTTGTTGCATTCAAACTGCAGACCTTTCAGTTAGCAACTGAGTGAGCTAGCGCCTAGCCCACTGGAGAGGAGAGCTGGGGTAGATAAGACAGAAGGAGGTTAAGAGAGAAAGGCAGAGAGAGAGGAGAGGGGGCGGGAGGGGTGCAGAGGGGGGGGAGAGGAAAGGAAGGGAAAGGAGTTTGTTTTTCTGCAAAGCTGCTTGTTGGTTTTGAGGAGGGGAAGACACTAGAGTAAGCGCCCGTGAGTGGGTGCCTTAATCCCACTTTCCTGCTCCCCGTTTGCTGAGAGGAGGCGCACAGTGTTTTATCTGCACAGAGAACTGAAGGATGCTTTTTCCCAGCCCCTTCTGGAGTGACACGGAGGTCAAGAGGGAAACCTGCACTCCTTGAAAACACAATGTGATTAGCATCTCCTCTGTTTCTGGGCTGCTTCCACCCGGGCTCCCAGAAGCACAAAGAAGTCAAAAGATGCTGTTGGCTAATAGTTAACTGTTAGTGTTGCTCAGCATTCAGCATGGCTGCTGGGCACACTCTCCCTCTAGAGATGTGAAGGATGGGTCTTCCGGTGGGTGTCATCCCAGAGCTGACAACGCCGAGCTCCTGTGGTCAAGCACGCTACTTGGGGACTTTCGGCGATTATAATGAAAACCTACCAGACCTATCAGCCTAACTCTCCTCTGCTTCTCTAGGAAATATTTCCTTTTGGAAGGCTGTCAACATTTTGACTGGAAGGAAAATGTCAGAACTCTTTAGATCTCTTAGAAGTTTTACAAGTAGTGAGATGTGAAGGAAGAGGGAGCCAGAGAACAGACAATTAAACCCGCCAACACCAATATCAGAGCCATGGAAGAAAATTCCTTGACTAGAGAAATGCCAGGGAATCTTAGAGTTCTGGTCCATGCTATTTTGAAATCCTACATTCCCCAAGTTGGAAAGGCAGCAAAAAGCTTTAACAAAAGGATTTTTCATTGCCTCCATCTTTAGGTTATCGGGGAGTCATCTGAAATCATTAATCGTACAAATGAAAGTTGATCCCCAGGTTTGAGTCAACAGAAAGGTGGGTAGTGAATAGAAATATGTTTCTTTTATCTGTTTTGTAAGCACTAGAAATAGTTACTCAACTTCTCCTCTGAGAAGAAGCCATTAGCCCTGGGTTATTCTATCGCAAAAAGAATATATTTAACGCAGCGATTACCTCCTGGCTGGTGCGGAACTTAGAGGTAACTGAGCAAATTCGAAGCAGAAAGATCAATTTCTCCTTAACTTTTCTTTTTGAAGGTCAC